TTCTCGAATCTGATTGGCTGAGAGCTTCCCAACATGAGGTTAATTTAGTGCAGAACTGACAAGTAGAAACAACAACACGTGTTACTTAATTTCCCGCTGAGTAGCCATTTTGGTCCTTTTGTATAAGACTGTCTGATTTACGTCGTAAAGTTCGAGTAATTGCATCAACTGTCGAATAGATTTTATTCGCGTGTTGAAAGCCTCCATGCTGACACTTTTGGATGTGTGTATATTCATGAGACAAATTTCCGTAATCAAATCCCATTTTCTCCTCATGGTTGCTACACATTGCTAAGCAAGCAGGTATTGAGAATAAGGAAAATCATCAATGACGGGTGCCTTGGTGTACAATCCAAATTCTTCGAAAAAGGCCTTAAGAATCATATGCTAGTCATTCAAAAGAACTTTGTTCTGTACTCCGAGTTGATAGCCTATATATCAAAATTTTACATGACGCTTTCTGCCCAAAATTGCAAATTTTCTTAAATTTCTTTGCCTGGTAGTTCGGACTCAGTGAAAAACAACGCCAAATGTAGACGTTTGACAGAAAGCCTTTGTACCATGGAGAAATTTAAGATTTATCGAATGTGAGCCATTCAATGTCAGGGATGTTCCCCTATTCTTTAAACACAAATCTCGTAAATCAATCCTTGGCAGCATTCACTTTCAAACTTAACAAAATATACGTTTATCAGGAAAACATACATTATTTATTGACCCCAATAAGCCAAAATCACCTGGACCTTGATTTGGCGCCGTTTCGGATTAATATATATTCTTGAATCACTCAAATCGGTCTCGGAGCCTTTATAGAAAGACTTTCCCGTAAATATTTTTCACGCTACATGTAGAGTTCGTAAGGAGAGCAGAAATCGTAAGTACCAGAATTGTTTTAATAGTATTTCTAATCACGAGAGTTCGAATCAATGTTCCTTTATGTACGTCGTGTTGGAAAGTAGTTATTTTACTCAGGGTAATGTTACACGTTTGTTTATAAAACGGTAACTAATTTGAGTTTGGAACAAACATTTTTATGAAAAGGCCACTTTGTTATTAAGTTTGCCACAACGGTTTTGTCACGATTTTGTCCTCCTTGTTGGAATATACTCGGCGAGGTTAGGGGAAGAATCGTCTGTAAATGATTTTTATGTATATCGTAGTACTGCTTTAATCTAATGGGTGCCTTACAGCATCTTACTGTTGTTTTTTGTCCGAAAACAACAAACATTTTTGGGATTTTCTTCAGTTTTAATCTACGGCCAATTTTCGGCATTGTGTTTTTCACGCCCTCGATTGACGAGTTAATAATCTCATTTCGACACTATTCTTGGCATATGCTAGGTATTGAAAACCCAAGAAAAATGTATTTATTTTCTACGAAGCTGCTAGGCTCAGAAACGCTGGTCAAAATATCACACTACGACGTAAGAACTTATTTCAGGGAAGCCGTGTCACGATATTATGATTTACGAAAATTAATACCGTTGAATTGAACGAAACGTCCGGAAAATAGCAATTTACTTTGGAAGAAAAACACCAGAAATCGTAAAATCTATCAGAGAGTCGCTGTTTTCATATCAACATATTGAAACACGCGCGAGTTAGCAGGGGGTTCAAGACCTGCACGTGAGCCATATCTCTCCCCAATCTTACTCGACATGCCACACTCGTTCCAGATCCCAAGAAAAGTACGTACCGCTGAAATAAGGTGGAAGATCATTCGATATAATGTTAACGTGTTAGCGGTCCAAGCTAGGATCTTTAAGACTATCACATAGAGATATGTTTAGTATAGTGTTCTAGGATGGCTAAATAAAATTGTAAACAAGTTACAGTTAAAAACTCTTTCCGTTTATGCATGACACGTCAGCATTTAGCCCAGCCTCGTTACGTGAAATTTTCTTTAACTTCTGGAGCGGGCATCGTCGTGTTGTTTTCATGTAGATATTCTCTTTTTTTCTTTGCTGCTTTGGAAATTTGTTCATGATAAAATCTGCCTTTTCTTAGCGAAGCTTCGTGATTTTTGTTAGTTTTATATCATCATCAAGAGAAGATCAAGGCAAGAGAGTTTAATAAACAATAGTCTCCATTTGGCGTGAAAATGTGCGCGAATATTTGTTCGCGGACAATATATGTTCCGAGAAGCGAACAATTTTGTGCGCTACGATAAAAAGATAATGTCCAAGAACAAATATCCGAGCATAACATTTTCAAAGTCAAATGGAGGCTATTGGGCCCAGTTTTAACTGGGGCAAATTCAGTCACGTAACGCGTTCAGACCAATTACGTGCGAGCGAAATGTTCGCTATCAAAGAAGGCTTCCTCACAGACGTTTTCGTGTTTGCTTTGTAAACAAAACATAAACAAATCCTCCATCAAAACAATGTCCATACAACGAGCCAGTAACATCCGTGGAATAACTGGGTACCATGTCTAAAAATAACTTAGAAGGGATTGCCTCGGGTACAAGGCCTTTATGGGGGATGAGCTCTCTTAACTTGATCTTCTCTTGGTCATCATACATAATGGTTATTGGATGAAACAGATTTCTATTTCAGGTGAATTGAAATCTCAAGCAGTTTTCCAAAAAAAAATTAATCATCGAATTGATCACCGCAGACCAGTACCAAGCGTGGGAAAAAATGAAGTGTTGAGGTTATTATATATTGACGCCTCCAGTGTTTCAGCCAGGAAATTTTAATTGAGGGCCAAAGTGGCCCCTGAACACCTTTTTTAGGGGCAAAAATGCATCAGGGTACCAAGGAAAATAAAGCAGTTTATTAGGGTCTATGATAAAATTTAATAAGTATTTTTTGAAGCGTTTCTACTCAATAAAGTTTCTTTTGAATCAGATACTAGTATGAAGGATCCGTGCATTACAAGAGAACAATCCTTAGGCATACGCGACGTAGTCTATGATCAAGTGTTTACAATGCATTATAGGGCAATTTCATACCCGGTCAGCCATTTGTATTGGACGTTTTCCGAGAATCAATACTGCAGTAAAGCAAAAGGACGGATTGACCTCTTTTCTTATGTTGAATGTTTTAGAAGCAAAGATCTTTCAATGTGATTTTCTAGAAGGACAAAATGTGTGACAAAATAGCCGTTATTGATCGTCAACACAGAGAAATGTAGTCGCCATTACTGCCATTGTGGCGACTAAACCAGAATTTTTGGTCGCCATGGATGAATTATCAGTTGCATTGGCAACCATATTGGTCGCAATTTCGAGCCCTGGGATGGCTTTTAAAATACTATACCTGTGTTAAGCCCAAAGTCTTGTAAAAGGAAAGGGCCAAATTGGCTCTTTTCTCGTTTTTCTGGGGACCATCTCTGATTGCAGCACGGGATTCCCGCAATGGCGCGCCCTGGTGAAAACTCTGCGCCTCTGTCGAAAGCAAACATAATTAAGCCTCCCTTTTTTCGCAACACTTATTTATTTAGGATAAAAAAAAAAATGTTTTGTTTCTTACTGTTTATAAGTGGCATGCCTTTGAACTAGTTAGGTGTAGTAAGCGCATTGACCACTGTAAACAACAACATTTGAACATTTTCAATTTTTTGAACTTAAGCGTGGGAAATGGCTGTCAACAACGGGAAAGCTCAGAACTAATGGCAAGAGCGGGGGTGTCTAAAAACAACTTAGAAGGGATTGCCTCGGGTAAAAGGCCTATATGGGGGATGAACTCTCTTAACTTGATCATCTCTTGGTCATCATACATAATGGTTACTGGATGAAATAGATTTCTATTTCAGGTCAATTAAAATCTAAAGCAGTTTTCAAAAATGAAAAAAATTAATCATCGAATTGATCACTGCAGAGCAGTGACAAGCGTGGGAAAAAAATGAAGTGTTGCGGTTATTATATAATGACGCCTCTGTCGACAGCAAACGCAATTAAGCCTCCTTTTTTTCGCAGGACTAAAAAAGGTTTTGTTTCTTCCAGTTTAAGTGCATGCGTTTGAACTAGCTAGGTGTAGTAAGCGCATTAACAACAACACTAGAAACAACAACATTTGAACATTTTCAGTTTTTTGAACGTGAGCGTGGGAAATGGCTGTCAACAACGGGAAAGCTCAGAACTAATGGCAAGAGTGGGCAAACATTTAATCTATGGCACAACAGTCTCGTAATAGCAAAAAGCTGAATCTGTACTAAATTAAGGGGCGAACTCCTGCCGTGAAAAATCTACTTTTCTGACTTTCGTCATGCACCGACTAAAATCGATCAGTCCTTCAACTGCCTCCGAAATAAATTATTTAAATTATATAGAACTTATCTCAGGGCATACTGTTTTGATTGATGAGCCATCTATATTACGATAGTTAGGTAGAGCTATCTCTACATATCTCTACAACCATTCAATCCTAAACAAATAAGTTTTGCAAAAAAAGGAGGCTTAATTATGTTTACTTTGGACAGAGGCGACAATAATAACCTAGGATTTAACAAATTATACGTGATTCCGAAAATGGCTGGGTTCTTGAAAAAATTAATTGGAAAAGTTTTTGTGAACGCTCGTTTCTCTGAATTTCTACAAGCCTCTTTGTTTATAATTAACACTCATTGCTGAGTCCATTAAGTTACTCACGGTGTTGAAAGATTCTGTAGCTTAGATAATCTGAATTACATCACTTCCTAATTCGTACGTGGTCAATTCACATTGAATTTCACTGAACTCCTTGATATTGAGTCGTGTTTGAGATGCGTGTATGTCCTTACACTAACACAAAGAACAAGATTAACATCAGATAGAAAAAAAAAATATTCCTGACGTGCATGCATTTGTCACTTGATTAAAAATTCTGTAATCGGGCCAGCTGGGTAAACCTGCGAGAGAAGCGCACGGTAGGTGCATTGACGTTTCAGTTAAACCTATCAAATTGAAAGCCTGGTTTGTGAGATATGGCCAAACCCAACTCAACCTTTTGTAAGCGAAGAACCTGATGTTTGGTTGACGATGTACCTTGGGTTTTATTAAGGTAAGGCGTTGGATTTTGAAGGTTCATTTGTTTTGAGATAGCATCTTGCATGAAGCCAACCTTTCGTTGAGGAAGTCTACCTCTTCTCAAAGATGGAATCGTGATTTTCGCCGTCTCAATCTATTTATTTCTTAAAATTTATATATATATCAAAAGAACAATATCTTTTTATCAGTTTTTACTCGTTATTGTTGCTATACAAGTTTTTTTTCATTTCTGAGTTTATAAACGGTTTTAAACACAACTGTACGAGGAAACATTATAATACATGACGACTATCTTTGAAAATAGAGCAGACGATTAAGGGGCAGTAAAGTATTCATTGTGATAAATACTGCTTACTGTTCTCATAAAGTCTTTTAAATTTCCAATTTACTTGCCTCAACACACTGTCGATTCTAGCTCGTTGTAGATGATAGTTAATTCCAAGTGCTTGCGTGTAAATGGTTGAATCTTCATATCGCGATCGTTGCCTTTTCAATGGGCACGTTCGTCTTGATTAATTGTGCAGCGACGGAGAGGCTTTCAAAATCGCCCCTCAAAGTACTCACGCTATGACAAGAACTGAACTTAAAATGAAAGAAAGGCTTGTGTTTGTCAACGTGGTAAGGAAATATCTTAAAGTACATCATTTCGCTAACGCCTAAGGCCATGGGCAAATATACTTCACTGTAATTTGCTCTAATTCGTAGGACTTAGGATCAAATCCTTGTTTGCCAATCGATGTAAAGCGGAGTTCTAACTGTATGAATTTCAAATCTAAAAAATCATAATGAATATTTTGTATCTTGAATACTTTCTATATGCTAAACGATTGTGATTGTTTTTAGAATTGGGCGAGATTTTCCGTGAGTTGCGGTATCATTGCAACAGGAATCATTTTATTTTCCGTATTTAGAGACCGTGAATCCTTCGCTCTTTGTAAATTTGCAAATCGAAAAGGGAATTCTTGACACTGAAATTAAATGCCAATTTCTCAAGCCTGTCTCAATTGAATGAGCCAATAGGGAAGCTCCATTCAGCAATTAATGTTTTGCAAGGTGTTTTTACTGCGTGCAGCGTTCATTCAGTCGAATCGATGAAAGCCATTAGATTAACAGATTGATAACCATAGAACCACCTGATTAAAGTACACTGAAAATCACATACTGTATACATTAACAGTTACAAAGTTAAAGCTAAATTCTATAGGAACAAAATAGCGACTTTTCCTGAATATCGGGAGAACGATTTGAGTACTCCGTGGGGCTTAGAAATATTCTTCTTACTTGTAATAGTGGAAATAAGCATTAGGGCAAAACCGCGCGCCCTTAATTTGTGTGTTTTCGTCTCCTCTATCAAGAATATTATAATTTGCTGCTCTCTGGAAACTAGCCATTACCCGTTGCTTTTAATTAAAATATGTAAATAGCTTTTACATCCCCCTAGACAATACATATCCGCTGCATAACACAAAGTAATAAAACGCACCGCCCGCATAGTTAATAATCTCTTGCACATAGCTTTTAAACTAAAATTAAGATCCGATTGAGGCATTACGTTGGTTTGAGGAAAAAAAATCCCTGGTTTTGTTTTCAATTTCCTAGCGCTGAAATGAATAAAAAATGAAAATGCTCTATGTTCTGTGCTTCGAAACCTTCTGAAGCACAATCAGACCCGCGCAACATGTCAGCACACCAAATTACAACATCAATGGAGCGTTTTGGGGTTATATGAAAAACGAAAACCACACATGGTTTTGTTGAAATGTTGAGCGGGAATGGCCGACCTTTAAAATGATATTGTTAGTATACTTTCCTATCTCCACTGCATATTTTTCCTTCGTGGAAGACGTCTTACATTCAACACATTGCCGCGTTTAACGATATTTTGATTTACACTCGCCACATTAGCTCGGACAGTGGCGCCATCCCTGAAATGCAGACCAAAGTATCACTTCTTATACCTCCGTGTTTTAGCTATTTCAATTAAAACGTAGCTACTGCATTTGTGCCACTGAGCACGTACTGGTCTTAATCAATTCACGTTGAGTGTCAAAGAGAAATGATCGAGTGTTGTTTTGGCAGTTTCTTAGCAGGTGTTTCTTAGGCAGTGAATAACGATTGAACTAGAACCCTTACTGTATGCTTGGCTAAATTACGAAATACAATTCGGAGTGGAGCAAGAGTTGATACCATAGTTCCTCGACATCACTGCTTGTTTGTGGGCTGCCAAAGCTGAAACTTGAATGAAGATAAATTTGGATAACAGCTTCGTTGGTTTTTCGGGGTGAAGCGATATTCTCCTATCTTTATTTTCAAGAGTGATCAAAGTCTAGTTTTCCCTTCCAGCACCGACAATACATCGTCAGGTGATGCGTGTTCAATTTCGATCGATTCATTCATTTAGTTCTCAATGTAGAAACTCTGCAAGAGAAATCAGCTAGTTATCTGAAGGCGGTAGAATGACACGATTTCAATGATTTCACCTGTCTTCCTGTCTAGTTTAATATACATGAAATATATGCATTTCTTTCTAGTAATATAAATACAATGTATATCTGTTAGGTTACTCCAAATAATAATCAACCATCGTCTTGATAAATGAACAAATTGTGAAAATTGTGAAGACTGCCAAAAAGTACGAAATATTCAGCCTCGGCCTGAAAAACAACTGTCTTATAAAAGAGAGTGTGCTTAGTATTACACTAAGTTATGTCTTCCAGTTTCAGGTTAACTCAGCTCCTCTTTCGAATGTTTTTTGTTTCAGTCGTAATCGATGTTGAAGATTTGTCCAGCCAGGAGATGATCATGAGTGTTTCAAGAACAACCTTCCACTAAGAACGGCCAAGGTAATGCTCCGGCGCTAATCATATTTAGTCCTCCGTTTAAAAGCCAAAATTTCACAAAACCAAATGACAAGTGATTTTCCTGGCTACGTCGATGGTGAAGAATGCAAGTGAATATATGAAAGATCATATATTTGAACTGCGGAGAAAGATATGAAGACATGATTGATCATCGAAGTTATGTACACAACGTAAGCAGTCGTGAAATTAAAGCCTGAAAAAATTTCAGGCCTGAACGGGATTCAAACGCATGACCTCTGCGATATCGGTGCAGTGCTCTGCCAACTGAACTATCAAGCCAACTAGGAGCTAATTATCTTGTGACTTCGTTATATACCCGTAGATGGTGATGAAACTGCTTAACGGCCTGATTTTTTTTTTCAGGCTTGAATTTCACAATTACTTAAGTTGTGTATATAACTTCGATGATCAATCATGTCTTCATATCTTTGTCCGTAGTTCAAATATATGATCTTTCGTATATTCACTTGCATTTTTCACCACCTACGGGTATACAGCGAACTCACAACATGATCAGCTCCCAGTTGGCTTGATAACTCAGTTGGTAAAGCACTACACCGGTATCGTAGAGGTTATGGGTTCGAATCCTGTTCAGGCCTGCATTCTTTTTCAGGCTTTAATTTCACAACTGTTTAAGTTGTGTATATAATTGCGATGATCAATCATGTCTTCATATCTTTCTCCGCAGTTCAAATATATGATCTTTCATATATTCACTTGCATTCAATCAATCAATTCCCTATTGCGGCTTGAAACGACTAGCGTGTTCAATATTCAAATAATCAAGTCATTAATATAATCTTGGAGGTTACGCTTCACTTGGTTTGACTGTAATATCAGTTGCCGTGTTAAGTTTATTTTTAGTAAACTCACTCAGCAAATAACCAATCTTAGCTGCCAACTCGAAAGCTTTGCTACTTTGGCTGTTGCACACTGACTCAAATTGAACGTATAGTTATATAATCTCGATCATTACGTTTTCTATAGTTTCGTTTTTGTCTTACCTTTCCTTTGTATCCTGAATAGTGTGAATAAAGATTGTTGGATATTGTGAACAAAACTAGCACCGGAATGTTTTGTTTAGTTGTTAATCGTGTTGTTGGGGACAAAAAGGAAACATAAGAAACGATTAATACTGTTACTGATTGAGAAAATATAGTAGAATCGCGAAGAATGAATAAATAACCAGGGATCTAGAGAATTTGCGTTCCGCAGCTTTTCTTGCAGTGTTTTATTCTTTACATGAAAAATGATTGCAATCTGGAATCCCTCCCTGGCTAGTTTTGGGGAAAATTCAATGTTTTTCGCATTATTATACTCTCAGATTATCATCAGAAGTTCTATATACTTTTCAAAGTGAAGATCTAAACCAACAGCAAGTAAAATAAGAAAAATTGCTAGCAACAGCGAAAAGACCAAGGTAAAACCAATTTTGAAAATTAAGCAGTAAAAATAGATGTCGAGACACGAAACAGCTTGTACCTATTTTCCATTTCTGGGTTACAGCCTCGCGCTTTCAACATCGCCTCAAAATCATTTAGTACTTCAGACTTCAATAAGGTTTTAACTTTTAAATAAGTTCAAGATGGCACTACTTATTCTAAAATCAAATCAAAACGTATTGAAGTGGTACAAGACACACAGACTCTTCATGATTATAGATCATTGTCAACTTCGTTTAAATTCTTACGAGTACATTCTTCGGTTCTGTAACTTAAATGTTTACTGATGAAACCCTATTGTGAAAACATATGGTGTTGTTTGTTTTTCCACTTCCTGCAAAATGGAATTCAGGATTATTTTATTTTTTGAATTTTAAACTTGACGACTTTAAACCTTCCACTGTTAGCCTTGCAGGTCCGACATCATCGGCGCCTGTTATGTTTCCTCTTTTTAGTCTCTGTTTCTGCCGGTACCTTTAATAAACCCTGAGAGCCATGACGTTGATTGCGTCTGTTAATAACACCGATAATATTTTAATTAAGAAAGCCGGCAGCTTTGGTTAAGAAAAGAACACAATTTGCTTGCACACAGTGTGAATGCGGTCATTTTCGTTAGTACTTTAAAACACCTAAAAAGTGCTACCTAGATTTAATTAATACATTTGTAAATAGCACTGAAGTGGTGAACGTCTTTGAGCCGCTCATTTCAACTAAAATATAATTTAAATTCGTTGTTCCTCTGTCTAGAAAACAAAATGTTTGAGCTAGCTAGCTAGCTACGATCAAGAAAAAATCGATAACTTTGAGTTAATTTTGATCCATGTCGTAATATAGGCATATGAACCTAACGTTCTAATGGGCTTTGCATCAATTTTGGTCCAAAAAATGAACAGTAAAAAATTAAAAAAAGGTATATTTCACGAGGACTTTACGATGTTGTTTACATTATTATCCATCCAATTGTAGGGTTTTTATTGCAAATGTTAATGAGGTCAACATAAATGCTGTATTAAAGTATCACTCTGAGATATTTGTCATTTTGATGTGTTGCAGGAGGCTGTGTAGTTTTAGAGAATGGTCGTACTTTCATTTTCTACGATTTCACGATTTTCGTCATTTTCTTTCCTCAGCGGTTAAAAGAAGAAGATCATTACCTCATAAGACGAGGAATATGTTGTTATTGTTAGTTTCGACACTCGGGTTAACCTTCGTAACCTGCAACGGTGAGTAAATATATTTTACTGAGCTTTCTAATAAACTTAACTTACCAACTTTATTAAAACAAACCTCTCATTTACAAATATGGGATAGCATGAAAAAATGATTCTTAAAAAATTAACGTGAAAGGAAAATTCAGAACTGATCGATGTTAAAGCCGGGTTGTCGGGAGACTAATCTTGATCTGCTTTTACAAAACTCAGGACCAAATGGGAACAAATGGAGATTTAGGTTTGCACATCATTTCAAACCTTTTCATGGGTAAAATTTTAATTTTTTAATCGAATTTTTATCTTCTGATTGCCAATACAATTTCAAATAGTATTGCTTGACATGCCTCCTTTATCCCTTTGCTCCTAGAAACGAAAGAATCCTAAAAATTAGTGTTTAAATTCAAATAGCCTACCGCGGCCGGTCCAGTAGCTTATTATGTTCTTATGGTGTCATTTAGAAAGAAGTCGGTTCCACTTAGCTTTAATAGTTGTGAACAGTGATCGGTATCTGCGTCATTTTACCCGCAAGGGCGTCATAGATTGAAACTGGAAATGTCAGACATTTCATTTCACCCATTGGTGAAATGACATTATGCATCACATTAAACTGAGAGTTAATATCTTTTATTTGAATGGTCACATGCTAGGGTTTAAAACACCTCGCAGACCGTAATGACCAACCCTAAATTGTCCAAAATGAAAGAGCATTTGCACATCTTTTTTGGCCTTCCACTCCAAAGAAAGAGAACATAGCTGAAATACAGGCTACACACATTAGCGTTTTGTCCACATAATTAAAAAATTGAACCACCTAGGATCCGGCCGCGCTCACCTTTTTGGTAAAAAGTGAGTCCAGAAGCTAACTCTGGTGAGGTATTTTTTTGCGCGTCCCACATACATGCAAATAGCAATAAAATGACGTTGATCGATATTCAGTGCTATGTGTACCAAGAGATTTTGATCGTAATCTCTTGTGTGTACGTATTTTTTTTTCACAGCATCATTTGTTAAGACTGCGTGCGCCACGGATTTGGCAACCATTACGTGTCACAACGATTCCAAGATTTTCATCGAGTCCGTGACATATGGAAGAACTGACAACGTAACGTGTTTGGAGTCAAATCAAGCGATACCATCTTGTAATGCGTCTGTTGACTTGAGCTGGAGAGTGATGCCATACTGTCAGGGGCTGTCATCCTGTGTTATAAATGGATCGTACGACGGCGCAGTTATACCTTGTGATGGAAACAGAACAAATTACTTCAATATCTCTTACAACTGTAAGATAAGTAAGTTGGAAACATTGTTTGCTACATACAGTCGTGTTTAGGGATGGCATGAACATAAATAAACGGCAAACACGTAAAGAGTCAAAACTAATCTGTTATTTTGGGGCGCAAAACCATTGTCAGGAGTGGCGAATGGCCCTTAAAAAACCATGGGTCTCGCAAAACCTTTGTCGAATTTCACTGGTCTCGCAGTGTAGTTTTTTTATTGCAAGGCTAAGAAAGTCTCGAAGCACCGATTTTTATTTTTTTTTATAAATGACTTTGGAACGTCTTAGAACCTGAACATCTTCAACTCGTATTTAAAACACTTTGAAATCTCAATAAGTAGCGATTGAAAAAGTCAAAATGTCTCGGGCTTGCATTTAGCATTCATCACCTATTACAGTCCTGTGAGACCCACGAATCATGGGTTGCATGAACCTCATAGGATAATCTTAACATTCAATGTGTCTTTCGTCTTGGTTTGCCAAACACAGCAACATTTGTGAATACTTCTTGCCATTCTCTTGGAACCATGTCGTCAGCGATAAAGATTAACTTTTAAAACCTGCATTCTAATTAAAACTAGAGGAAGGAAACAAAGGGTCGTTCATTTATATTTTCAGCTCCCCACGTCGACGCATTTGTACATCACTGCTGACTACCACTTTTAACTAACTGGTGCATTTGACTCCTGCCATTCTGGACTAAATGCAGGGTGCGGTGTAATACCGTGTTTGGGACAGTTAGCAATACGTAATATAGATGTGTCCGTGGGGAAAGCTTCAACTATGTAAATGAATTAATATAACTATAATTTTAACGTTTACTGAGCTATAATTCCTTTACTCCTTTATTGCAGTCAACGAAACTGAATTTCCCGAGAATACGTACGCAAGCTTTGTTTGCCCAGTAGGGGAAGTATTCGTTATCCACAGCCTCGAATGGAGAGGAATAGAATATATCTTGAAAAACCGTACTATATCATCCCATAGCACCAACGCATTCTTCACTGCATCGACAAATAATCTGGCATACCAGACAAACGTTAAGATTTCTGCTACGCATGTCAGTGAAAGAAGCAACACCGCAGTGCTTGCTGGAGTAACTACTCCCAGCCAACTCCAAACGTCAGGAATTCAAGCGCTATCAATGCATTTTGTCGCTGAATCACTTGTGACTAGCCCTGGTACTTTGTTACCCACTACGGTGACTTCTTCTCCTAAGCTGAGTCAGGTCGCAATGTTATCAAGTTTCGTAGTATCGGCATCAGCATCATCAGAAGAAGAAGCACCACGATCATTATCATCATCATCATCACCTTCATTAGCAGCATCTCCAGTGTCACCTTTAGCATCATTTGCAGCATCAGCCTCAGCATCACTACCAGAATCGTCAAAAACATCCGCATCATTAGCAACATTGCCAATACCAACACTAGGATCATTAGCAACATCACCAGCGTCAAAATCAGCATCATTCGCACCATCACCAGTGCTAAGATCAGCATCTTCGGTAGTGGCATCTCCAACATCGTCGGAATCACTTGCAATGGCATCAAAATCACTGTTATTATCATCAGCATCAGCATCATCAGTGTCAGTGCCAGTGTCATTAGTAACAGTGTGTCCTAAGTCATCATCCAAATCATTAACAGTTACAGCAGCTCCAGCATCACTGCGGCCGGCATTATCATCACTACCACCACAATCATCAGTGCCACTGATGTCGTTACCTCAAAATGAAACAACGTCGTCTTCAATAACGGCTTCGTCATTCTTTCATCCTAAAATGGTGTCCTCTTCGGTGTTACAATCGTCGTTGAACTCTTCGAACTCCAGTGTGTTCAAACAAAACGACTGTGTAATTTACGAGTACTACAACATCACTAAAGTACTGAAACCCAAAAGAATTTTCACCTTCAGATTAGGACAATGCCGCGGGAAGAGAAGATGCAGCTTCAACGTAACAAGGAAAAAGCTGGGTGAACCTTATAAGGATAAAATAACGTCACTACGACTATTTATCAAAAACAGCTGTCAACCTGGTAAGCATACATAGATATAATTTACTTATATGTCATTAAGGGTGAATGAGTGATCTTGAAACTACAATTATCACGGGTCACCCTCATTAAATAAAGTCTTTCACTTCACTTCACTTCATTATATTGAATCATTGCTGTGAATTGCATATTCGTATTTTTTGTTTGGAATTTTACACAGTATTCATGGCATAAAGGTGGCTCCAAAGCTTACAAACACCTTAGATCGTGACAATCGCGAGATTTTCCTGCAAAATATGAATTCACTCTACCAGGTGTTGTCCTTAGCGTCACCATGTTCATTGCTTAAGCTCTCTAATGGTCGGTGAGTATTAAAGAAACCCACCGTCGTTCGGTTCTTGCGTGATCCAGCCTGGGTAGTTAATTGAGAATTGAATATTTCGTTAGCATCAAGTGGGTACCTGCAGTGGGAAAGCTGGAGTGCATGTCCTGATGTATGTGGTGTACGGTACCATCAAGTCAGAAGGAGGATCTGCCTCAATCCTACAAGAAAGGCTGGAGGAGCAGACTGTTCTGGATTAAGATCAGAGACTCGCCCGACAGGATGCTATACTCCATGTCTTGGTAGGTTATCAGAGTTATTTTGAGGTATTCCATTGCACAATAGATACGTGTCAACAAATGCGCGTTGGCCTAACGATTGGTCTTTGGATTCAGAGGTCCGGGTTTGTGTAAACACAGTGCGCCTTAGGATGAAAAACGAGTGAATTGTTGGGGGACATCTGTCAACTAACAAACCACCTAACTGGCCGAGTGACCGAGTGACCGAGTGACCGAGTAACCGAGTGACCGAGTGACCGAGTGACCGAGTGACCGAGTGACCGAGTGACCGAGTGACCGAGTGACCGAGTGACCGAGTGACCGAGTGACTGAGTGACTGAGTGACTCAGGGACCAATTGACCAAGTGACTAACTAACTAATTGACTACTCCGTTGATCAGATAGAGAGCAGGTGAGCTCTTTAGCACAACATATTAACTGTACGTTTATGAGATTTATAACCCAACACGTGATAAAATAACACATTTTAGCACCTAAAATAGCACTGGGAATGTCTCTGGTTTTTTTTCAGATCGAAATTCCACAACCTGCGATTTTATGACAGCCAACTTGACGTGTCCAAACGGCACATTTATCAACATCAATACCGTATTCTACGGTCGTGACGTCGAAGTTAATATGACTTGCAACGTTACTGGTGCCAGTAATGGATCGTGCTCGTCGTCAGCTGATATGGAGGGCCATAATAGCGCACAAGTTTATGAACGATGCCAAATGAGACAAAATTGTACTTTCATGGTTTCCAATGACACGTTTCGAGATCCATGTCCTGGAGTTACCAAACACCTTAAAATAGAATACTCGTGCAGTCCTGGTAAGGATATGTATAACTCTTAAGATTTAGAAAACGCTGCTCTATTTCCCTTATTTTTAGTAGCCACTAAGTATCATGGCTGTAGCTAAACAAAACTATGATTGAGGCAATGTCCATGAAAAAGTTATGACTGAGGCAATGTCCATGAAAAAATTATGTCTGAGACAATGTCCATGAAAAAATTATTATGTCTGAGGCAATTTCCATGAAAAAATTATGACGGAGGCAATGTCCATGAAAAAAAGTGACTGAGGCAACTTCCATGGAAAAATTATGACTGAGACAATGTTTATATATTCATCTGATCTTAATTAGTTTCGATTGAGAAGATATATCAAACTCTTTAAAACGTTTTTTTTCTCTACAGTTCCAAACATCTCAAAGTTTGTCAAAGATACTCCGCTGCGCGTCGTTTTCTTTTCTCAGTGTGTGGAAATGTGGTAAAAACGGTCTCTTGTGTTTAATAGCTTACTTGAAAGTTGCTTCATCTTTTCTTGTAGTATTTAAGAGAACATTTTGCGATGAAGACAAAGCCCTTATCAGCTGCCCTCCTGAATTGCGTTTGGTTTTTCACAATACGCCTTTTTATGGCCAAGTGAATTCTTCCGAATCTTGCCCCGCATCTGGTTCAACCCCTTGCATCTCTGATCTGACATACGACGGCATCGAATATTTTTGCGATCACTACAGTTGTGACATACCAGGAGTATCCGGTAACAAGTTGGGCTTAAAAGGCCAGTACCAATGCAAAGACAGCAGTAATTATCTCACAGTGTACCACAGCTGTCAGCAAAGTAAGTAAAAGCACTAGCAGTGAAGATCGAGGGGAGGGGGAGGGAGGTGAAGAAAGATGTGGAGGAAAGATAAAAGTGACTTGAATGTACAATGGGTTATTTTAGGTATGAAAGTTGCAGGTGTTAATTATTGAAAAGAGGAGGAAATGTTTTGTTTTCTGAGAGAAATTATTTCTCGTACAACTTTAAATTTGTTCAGTTTTGGGCTCGTATTTCTCGACGGAACACCATCCGCCGGAGCCTCGTGCCCAGTCTTCCGCTCGCTATTCGCTCTTCCTTCAGCTTTAACTTGTGCTTTGTATTCTAGTTCCAAACTCTAGAGCAACCTTAACGAAGTCAAGCCTCTGACGGAGGCAGAATGTACTGATGTTTTATCGATATAAAAAGAAGAAAATTCGTGTAAATTTGTACTGGCTCGAGAGAGGTCAAGATAATAAACGAATATTTACTCACGTCATTCTTATTACAGTAGTTTGAAAATAAAATCGAGATGTCCCAATGTTTTCTTTCGTAGAGGACGCCGTTTACACTGCTTGGGGATCCTGGCAGTCCTGTGAGACATGCGGTCTCACCACCCGTCGAACAAGATCCCGTGACTGTATTGACCCTGGGGTACCTTATACTCCCATGGGAGCCTGTTCCTGGAGGGATAAAAATGAAAGGGAACATTGTTATCATCGCTGTGGAGGTTTGGACTGTTATTGAATAAAAAGTTGGCCGCATTTTAAGAGCCATTGCGAACAGTTTTTAAAATTCGCTGGCTGCCCACGCTTAAGGTGGTTCGATACAGTCTTCTCTGGACCATACCTAGCATTTTCAATTGGCGTTTTACCAACCTTTCCTTAGCCTGATCGATGTGAAAATTACACCAGTTTTTGGAAAAGATTGAAGTTTGGTTGAATTTGTTTTTTAAGGTAATCGATATTGTTACCGCCATATCGCGAAGCCAATCTTGACTGGTCTCCAAACATCGTTTTAAAAAAGAACAAACGTTTAAGTTTATTCACGACAACGAGTTTGACTGAAAATAGAACAAAAATAAACAATTATTT